ATCATCATCATCATCATCATCATCATCATCATCATCATCATCATAATCATCATCATCATCATCATCATCGTCATCGTCATTGTCATCGTCGTCATCGTCATCGTCATCACCCACTTCGGCACACCCCTCACACGTTTCGTGGCCCCATAGGGAGCTCCACCGAAGGCCCGAGGGCTGCCGCCCGCATGCGTCCCCTACACCCATTTCGGCACACCCCTCACACGTTTCGTGGCCCCACAGGGAGCTCCACCGAAGGCCCCATGGCTGCCGTCCGCATGCGTCCAGCACACCCATTTCGGCACACCCCTCACACGTTTCGTGGCCCCACAGGGAGCTCCACCGAAGGCCCCAGTGCTGCCGTCCGCATGCGTCCCGCACACCCATTTCGGCACACCCCTACACGTTTCGTGGCCCCATAGGGAGCTCCACCGAAGGCCCCATGGCTGCCGTCCGCATGCGTCCCGCACACCCATTTCGGCACACCCCTCACACGTTTCGTGCCCCCACAGGGAGCTCCACCGAAGGCCCCATGGCTGCCGTCCGCATGCGTCCCGCACACCCATTTCGGCACACCCCTCACACGTTTCGTGGCCCCATAGGGAGCTCCACCGAAGGCCCCATGGCTGTCGTCCGCATGCGTCCCGCACACCCATTTCGGCACACCCCTCACACGTTTCGTGGCCCCTCAGGGAGCTCCACCGAAGGCACCAGTGCTGCCGTCCGCATGCGTCCCGCACACCCATTTCGGCACACCCCTCACACGTTTCGTGGCCCCATAGGGAGCTCCACCGAAGGCACCATGGCTGCCGTCCGCATGCGTCCCGCACACCCATTTCGGCACACCCCTCACACGTTTCGTGGCCCCACAGGGAGCTCCACCGAAGGCCCAGTGCTGCCGTCCGCATGCGTCCCGCACACCCATTTCGGCACACCCCTCACACGTTTCGTGGCCCCATAGGGAGCTCCACCGAAGGCCCCATGCTGCCGTCCGCATGCGTCCCGCACACCCATTTCGGCACACCCCTCACACGTTTCGTGGCCCCACAGGGAGCTCCACCGAAGGCCCCAGTGCTGCCGTCCGCATGCGTCCCGCACACCCATTTCGGCACAACCCTCACACGTTTCGTGGCCCCACAGGGAGTTCCGCCGAAGGTCCCATGGCTGCCGTCCGCATGCGTCCCGCGCACCCATTTCGGCACAACCCTCACACGTTTCGTGGACCCACAGGGAGCTCCCCGAAGGCCCCAGTGCTGCCGTCCGCATGCGTCCCGCACACCATTTCGGCACACCCCTCACACGTTTCGTGGCCCCATAGGGAGCTCCAGAGGCCCCAGTGCTGCCGGCCGCATGCGTCCGCACACCAGTTCGGCACACCCTCACACGTTTCGTGGCCCCACAGGGGCTCCCCGAAGGCCCCAGTGCTGCCGTCCGCATGCGTCCCGACCCACCCCTCACACGTTTCGTGGCCCCATAGGGAGCTCCACCGAAGGCCCCATGGCTGCCGTCCGCATGCGTCCCGCACACCCATTTCGGCACACCCCTCACACGTTTCGTGGCCCCACAGGGAGCTCCACCGAAGGCCCCAGTGCTGCCGTCCGCATGCGTCCCGCACACCAGGTGTGTGGCGTGCCGACATGGGCGTCGCGGCGCGCGGGCGCTGCCGTCGGGGTTCCCAGGGAAGCCCCCTGCAGAGGCGACGCTCAGAGTCACGAGTACCGAGAGTCACGCAGACCCAAACTGTTCACAGTCGTATACATACATTTACACTGGGCGTATCCATGCACGCATTCATGCGAATAGAATCAATCGCGCGCAGATTCATTCATAATCAGACTCGCTCGCGATCCGACTCGCACGCGCTCAAGCTTTCATATTCGGACCTATCGTCTTCGTTCGTGTTGTGTACACTGCCACGCATTTCGGCACACCCCTCATACGGCTCGTGGCCCCATAGGGAGCGCCACCGAAGAAGATATTCACAATTGCGGTACTCTCAACTGCATATGGTTGGGTCCCTCGCCAGGCTAATTTTTTCTCCTCCCCTGACAAACAGGCGAAGGCGAAGGGCTCCCCGAAACCTCTGGAGGTAGAGCAAAACATCCGAGCCCCCACACATCGACCCTCGATCGATCGAAGTCGACGGAAGACAGGAGGGATGAGGACCATGAGGAGGGAGGGAGAAGGTCGAGGAGGAAGAGTCACCTCGTCATTACCTGTAAGACAGGAGCGTCTTCACCCGGAATAGCGTCTTTACCCGGAATAGCGTCTTCACAAGGAATAGCGTCTTCACCGGGAATAGCGTCTCCACCGGGAACAGCGTCTTCACCAGACTGGGAACAGCGTCTTCACCCGGAATAGCGTCTTCACCCGGAATAGCGTCTTCACAGGGAATATAGCGTCTTCGCCCGGAATAGCGTCTTCACAGCGAATAGCGTCTTCACCGGGAATAGCGTCTTCACAAGGAATAGCGTCTTCATGGGGGAAGTGGTGTGTGTGTGTGTGTGTCCGCAGAACGCTTCTTCACCAGGAAAAGCGTCTTCACCGTCTTCACCGGGAATCGCGTCTTACCCGGAATAGCGTCTTCACCCGGAATAGCGGCTTCACCGTCTTCACCCGGAATAGCGTCTTCACAAGGACGCATCGTCACAGGGAATAGCGTCTTCAAATAGCGTCTTCGGCGCCGGCGCGAACTGGGAACCCCGGTTGCCGGGGCAATGTAGATGGAGGCGGAGGAGAGAATTGCGACAACCAGACCTAGAAGGCAAGAGCGCCTGTCAGTCGACGACCGTGACCCGCCCGCCTCGACATCTTCTACCACTTCGTCATTCTACTGCTCCTACATATCGCCGTCCTATCCCCGCCGTCTCCAGAGCTGCCCTCGTCGTGCACAAATCATGACGGCATAGCCACTTCCCAATTTTTCGGCCTCTGGGGGCCCATACCGGGCCCCAGGGCCGTCAAAAAACCGGACGGGCTGCAAAAGCTGCCCCGGGGCAGGGGTTCTAGACCACTGGGGTCCACGTTGTGAACGTCTGGGAGCTGAATCCTCCTGCCATTGCCTCTCCTCCCACCCTCTCTCTTTATCTTCTTCTTCCTCCAACTCCTCTTCCTCTTCCTCCTCCTCCTCCTCCCCCTCCTCCTCCACCCTCCTTCTGCTCTCCTTCGCGATGCTTCTCTCCACCCGAAGCGCGACGAAACCGCAGCGAAAAGAAGCAGGCTGGCACAGCGGCGCTTCTACTTCAGCTTCCGCCGCTTGGGGCCGAACCCTGTGCCGAAGCCCTGGCAGCGGGGTCGCTCTAGAAGACTTTCCCCGCTGCGGAATGCGGACCGCCCTTGCTCCGCTTCCCCACGGG